TTGTGGTATCAAAAGACCCTGATTTGAATGAAGAGGAGTAGGATTTGGGGAGGAAATAACTGCCGGGCAACCGATTACTATTATTAACTGGCTCATTTTCTATTGGAAATCCGCGCGCCGGATACGGTAACCTATTCCCACCAGAAGGAAATTGAGAAATGGTTGAGTTATCTGACCCATTGTGAACATTAGCATGAGGATTGCATTGATAAAACAGCCGTGGAAGAAATACATAGGGGGGTGGGGGGACGCACTGCTTATACAGGGGCAGGAATTATATTCATATACGGGGAAATGGGCATATTCGGCTTAACCGCTTCAATATAACGTCTAGATGGTAGTTGGAAACACGCAGGATTCGGGGCCGTGGTGTTTGGGCAGTGGCAGGCGATTGTGGAGGAAAAGATTTTTAAAGTACTCCATTTACCCGGTGTTCGAGTGGCTGAAACGGCACTCGGGTTCGCCTTGTAATAAGCACTTGCTTAGGTTTACTAGGGGTCGTTGGGGGAGTGTGGAACACCCGAGCCTCGAAATCACGACCCGTTGGTTTAGAAGTCCACGCCTCTACCCACCGGGCCACGAGTCCATGGCCCTGTCGATTTTCGATGGGGAATATACAATGGTAAGGGGCGAGGCTCGGGTGTTCCACACTTCGGGCTAGGGTATGGCTGGCTGACGACGGCTAATAAGCCAGAACTGGCTATTCCAGACACCCTTGTCTTTGTCGGTAATGCCATTCTACCTATATATATATATATATATATATATATATATATATATATATATATATATATATATATATATATATATATATATATATGAGATGATACCGACAAAGACAAGGGAGACCGGAATGGCCATTTCTGGCTTATTAGCCGTCATCAGCCAGTCATACCCAACCCCAAGTGTGGATCACTTGAGATTCGAACCCGGGATCTTTGGTCATGGAGTTTGACGCTCTAACATTGAGCCACGGGCCCGTTGTCCTGTCGGTTGCGATCGGGAATATTAATTATGAGAGTGGGCGCTCGCCGATCAGGTTACGGAACATGCTCGTTCCGTTGTGCCTTGGGGCTCATACTAGAACCCTCGCAGGCAGTCGCACAGCGACTAGTAGTAGACATAGATGAGATGATATCGACA